AATTGGGGTGGAGCGGAAGAAAAACCGAAATCGTTTTTTTTTGAGCCAAGCAAATAGTACAGGATCGGTCGTAAATTAGAAAAAAAATAATTGGTCGTATATTTCCAGCCATCGCTAGCAATATAGATGTATAAACCGATAAAATTAGCTCTAATACGTAGAATCCATGTGCGTAACCACGGTGGGGCAACGTGGGGGCAGTTGTGCCTCCATAGCTAACTGCTTTATGCATAATTTCTTGCAGATTAAATTAATATTCAATTGAATAGAAGACATGTTGAAAGGTAGGCCCGTCATCCCCGGACCCTCCTGTAGACCTATGACAGCAAAAAATAAGTGTTTAGATTTTTTTACCTTCATCGCCTACACCCAAATAGCATTTTTGGACACATTTTAGGTATTGTTTCTAATAATTGTGTCTGTTTTTGACGGCACCAAAATGGAAACGGTATGCCACAAATAGGAAACATTTTCGAAATCTTGGCACTAGCCGTTTCCTTAAATGTTTCGATGCGGAATCAAAACTTTTAGAGGAAATGTTTCGAAAAAATTTTTCTGCAATTTGTGTCCAAGATGTTCCCGTTTTCAGCAGCCACTTTTTCTAAATGTGAAAGAACAAAATACCAAACTAAAATAGTGTATATCTGTTTGTTGTGGATTTCAAAATGAACACAACCATCAACCATCAACAATGTCGACCTCCGCCATACTTTTTTTGTCTTAAAATCTTTGTTTTTAGGTTTTCTCTCACAAAAAATGTCTGGCAAAAGCAAATTCATCGTTTAATTTAAGAAGGTACTTTCATATTTTTATATATAATGCCCCTTCTATAATATCATTATTTGTAGCTACAAAATATTTTTGTTTCAAACATAGATTTTTATTCTTATTGCTATATCATGGTTCTGAAAATAAAAATATATAAATCCATGTAAGTAGAACGCGTTCTTATGAGTTTAAAATCTCAACAGCCGATAAAAACATATACATATTTTAGTTAAAAACGTCACTAGCCAATATGGCGGAATTTTAATTCATTATTTTATAAAATTGGCATGGAGTCGGACAAATCATCTACATTATATCATATTTGTCTAAAAAGAGAAAAACGCGTGTTTCGAAATTAAATCGACAATAAATGGAAGCCTTGTTTCTAAAATGTTTCGGTTTAGCGCTATCTGTGTAGAAATTTCGAACTAGTCACCTGTCAAGAACGCCAATCAAAATTTGTGGTCAAAATAATTAAAACATTTTTATTTACTTATTATAACACAATTAAAACATAAAGGCATGTCTTCCATTGTGGAAAAAAAGAGAAAAAAATGTTTGCTGGTATCTTCGGTCTCCTGATGGGTATAGGTAGTGGCTGTTATTACATTTATTCCTAAAACAAATCATCTCTGTAATGCGTATAATGAATAATTATAAAATCGCATAAGTAAAATAGGTATCTGTATTTATATTCACCATATGTCCTTCCTTCCGTTTTTTTTTAATTATAGTACTATAAAAACTTGAAGAATGCTTAAAAGCAAATACTTCAGAGCAACATAAAAACAATAAAGTAAGGTTATGTTGTCATATATGACAGAATATCAAATAAATTATGGAAACTTTTCAGGCACAAAACGGGTACGAAATCTGTAAATGTGAGACATCTGTTTCTTAAAAGTTTCGAAAAATTTGTGACACTAAGATCTTTATTGTTACCTATAGCTTATAGCGAAACCATATTTTGGTAAAATGTTTCGAAATAAAAAGCGATTTATGTTACGAAACATATGTATCAAAAATGCGACGAAACTGTTTCGCTATGTTTCTCGGCAGAGATCTTGCTTCGATGTTGTGTCTTAAAATGCTAGTTGGGTACAGAGGAAGAACTTTCAAGAGTACCAATTTTTTTCAATTGCCTGCAGATATCTTGTATAAGTTTCTGGTGTCATACCCCTGCAGAACTCTTAAATGATTATTTATTACGAAATTTTTCGAATTTATTCCATAATGTATTTGATTAGATACGTACAGTATAGAGCTACATTTCTGTTTAAGCATGATATGTTTCAATATACCATATTGCAGAACTTGAAGATAAAAAATTCTTCTCCAAAATCACTCGTTTTAAAAAAAATTCCAACATGCACCTGTCCTGGAACGGCTAGAGGTATATTGAACGGCCGTATTTATATTCAAGCTGCGATAAAAGCAATGAAAACACCGATAATAGAGGCGATAATAAATATTCAAAGGGTATTATTCCATTCGTTTATGTTAGAGTTGGGATACTAGTCAAGTAAAAGCAGTTAACCGAATTGTTGCTTTTATGAAATGAGTAGGAGATTCCGCAGAAGAAATTATAAAATTATTTTCGAACTGTGCAATATGCTATATTAAAAACGAAAATCAACAAAATTAAAAAATAATAATCAACACATTTCAGAATAAATTTAGAAAATTTCCTAATTTCACACCCTTTAAGTCATATGCTTATAAAGCTGACAACTTTTGATTATGCGATATACAAGATATCCTGCTGAGAAATTGAAAAAATAACGTTGTACATGACACGTACGTTTAAACATGAACACTAGTGTGATTAGAACGACTCGGTGTACGACCTCGTCGTTCTAATCGTTCACACTCGTTGTAATCATGTTCATAAACAAACTTGTACTGTAAATAACTATTATAATTTCTTTACATTTTATCATTTCGCTAATACCTGTGCTAATACTAAATTCGACGCATCCTTCTAACTTTAAACGCAAATTTGAAAACCGGTCACCGTATCGCACAAAATGAAAAGCATCTTTTTTACGTAAAAAAGTCTTAGTTTTTTATGGCATTTGTTGAAATTACTGTATCTATAAGGATAAAAAATGTAAAGTACCCTTTCATGTTAGGGCTGTTACGGAATTTTACATCATCGCCATTTCCTTGGGCATTAAAATGTGTATTTCTTTAAAAAGAGTGCCAAATTTCAAGAAAAAAGGTTTGCCAATATTAAACAAAATATATTATTTTTATTTGCCCTTTTGACTGCTGTAACTTTAGTGTAAGAGCTAGCAACGTTTTCGAGAAAGTATTTTAAGACGTCTGGCTCTTTGATATATCTTTTACTATGCTCTCTGGAACAGCATGCGGCTCGTCTGGCTGCCTATACCCGTTGCGTTCACTACTGCGCATCGGAAGAAGATCCTATATTTTTAAACGGTTTTATTTAGCTCGACCCGTACGGTATTTATTTATTTGTTTGTTTATTTGGGTCAAAATTAGAAATTGAAATTTAAGTACCTTCCTGTTGTCAGATTGATCTGAAATTTGGTACACACCTTTAGTTCCGATGACAATACAATATAGTAATATCAATAACATTGTAAATCTAAGATGGCCGCCGGTACAAAATGGCGGATTTCATATTTTCCACAACCCCTCAATATGGGTATCAAATGAAAGGGCTACACTAGTAGAATACTGTAATTATGACAAAATTTAAAATCCAAGATGGACGTCGTTACAAAATGGCGTATTAGGTGAGGGCATGAGTAGTCGTGTCCAGAACAGTTGTGTCCAAGATTGTGTGACGTTAGAAGGACAGATAAAAAAAAAATAGGTGATTAGATGTACCTACGTAGTTAGCGGTAGCTTTACCACCCAAGTTAAGGTAATAGGTTAAAACGTGCTGAGGACTGTATGGCATTAGGGTGGCTAAAAATGTAATGTCGCAAGCGTTTTCCCCTCAAGATTGGGCGCCTCTTGTTGTATATTATAGTCTTGCCCCTCTACTGAACCTCTGGGGGGGTCGACCGTTAAAATGTCCATTACTCGTGGGAACAACATGGAAACAATAAATAAAAAACAAACAAAAATAAAAAATCGGTAAAAAAACTTTTAAGTTAAATGGTTTTATCTTATGTGAACTGAAAACTAGAAAATAATAATAGCAATTAGGTATTTTGAACTTCTAGTTCAGAAATAATTTAGTATTAGGCAGAATAGCTTTACGCATAATAGACTAAAATAAAAACGTGGGGCCCATTAACTATTGCTGTAATACTAAGTGTGGATTGCATCGACTTACTATAATCGTAACTGGAGATTTTGACAATCAATAACCAGCCGTGGCGGCTTCACCAGCGAACGCCGAGCTCATGATCTACCAAAGTATAAAGATATGCTTTGCCATAGGTAGGATTTCAGAGGGGCCCCACGTTTTTATTTTAGTCTAATATGCCTAAAAGCTATTCTACCTAGTACTAAAATATTTCTGAACTAGAAGTTCAAAATACCTAATTGTTATTATTATTTTCTAGTTTTCAGTGCACATAAGATAAAACCGTTTAACTTTTATTAATTTAGTCCTATAAATTCTGGTATTGAATATAAATCGAACATGTCTCCATAGCGCAGTGCGTAGAGTTTCCGACCACGAACTGATGATTCAGAGTTCAAATACCGGGTCAGGGCAAAAGACTTTTTTATTTCATTTTCGTTTATATTCTCATAGTAAAGTATTAAATAATTCTGGTGATTAAAAAAAACAAATATTTAATACTTTACTATCAGAATATAAATGAAAATAAAATAAAAAAGTGTTTTGTTCTGAACCCGGGGATTCGAACTCTGAATCATCGGTTCGTGGTCGGAAACTCTACGCACTGCGCTATGGCGACATGTTCGATTTATATTGATTACTAAAATTTAAAGGACTAATAAAAATATAGAATCTTCTTTCAATGCGCAGTAGGGAACGCAACATTGGCTGTTCTAGAGAGCATAGTAAAAGATATATCAAAGAGCCAGACGTCTTAAAATACTTGTTTTTCTGACGTTGCTAGCTCTCGTACTACTTCTTCGGGGGGCATTTTAGTGCATATGTTCAAGGGAACTTTTTGTTTTATTATTAAGATTAAGTTTAATCCTTTTTTTAATTTCAAACAAATTTCCGATATTAGATAGATGTTAGTTTTTAAAAAGTTAATTCATATTTTAAATTGTTTCAGGTGTCAGAATTAACGGATATTTTCAGCAATGGTTTACTGTACAGCTTGCGATGATTATTTCGGCATGTATGGTATCAATAACGTGATAAAGTGAAGTGAAAATTAGGTAAAAAAATGCATAAAAGACTTGAATTGATTTAATCTAATTGAAACTGAACCTAGTCTTTAGTATTTTATTATTCAATCTAAATATATGGAAAATATCAAGGTATTTAATATAGAGTAAAGACATGTAATATATTTTACATAGGATAACATAATTAAAAAAAAATGTAAATTGCAGTAAAAATTGTTTTCTCAAATCAAAGTATTTGTTCAAATTAGCTTTGGATAGTTAGCTCAAGCTTTTGAAGTCTTTGTAATTTTCTTCGTATTTCACAGTATAAAATATGATTTTGCTTTTTATACCATAATTATAAATGCGTTTTTTTCCGTTACAATATATTACGTGTCTTGCAAAATTTGTCATGTTTGTTAAAGATTGTAAAAAATAAAGAACAATTTGAAAACTCCATTTGTAAGTCCATAAGTGTATAGTTCCGTAGAGATATTAAATCCCGTGAGTTTTTTAGGAGACCTTTTCTTAAGATTCTAAATAATTTTTAAGATGTTAGCGTTGAAATTAACCCTGGAAGTTACTTCGAAAATTTTGGCATTTGGTCGCTACATTAAAAGATAACAGCAGAAAAAAACAAATAAATGTGTAAATAAGACGTTTCTTCTCGGAAACGGTAAATAACTAAACGACCAGTGGCGAGTCACTGGCCTCTACGGATAGAGTTCAATATTCGCCCCATTGAAACTGTGTTTCGAAAATGCAGAAATTGCAAAAAATAGTTTTCAAGATATTCATTTATGAATATCCTGAAAACTATTTTACGATTATCGAGTTTATACAGATTTTTGAAAAAAATCGATTTTTTTATTTATACACCTTCTCACCTTATTATACAACTTCTCACCTGGTACGGTTAGAAGACGTTATGTAAGAATTCTAAATGGAATTTGATCCCCTTTTAGGTTATGTTTAAAAAAATTGCCGAAAATGAAAAAATCGGTTTTTATTTTTGTTCTCACCCTGTATGTACTTTCTTGACAAACTGTGTATACTGAAAAATTTAACTAATCAATATGCATCGATCCCCGGCCAAAAATTTCTCAAATCGGAATAAGTGAAAAAGTTCGATTTTTGCCGGTGTTAGATATTAGATTATATTATTAATAATCTGTCAATTTATGTAATAATTATTATGTTTATGTAAAGAGTAACAAGGCTCGCGGTTATCGTACCGCAATTACCCTCTCACTGCCTGAGCGTTGCGCTAGACGACCACTTGGACTTGTTTTCGCCGAGTAGCGACAGAAACCGTCGGCTCTTTTGATGTGGTGGGACCAAATACAGACCAAATTTTCTTTCTCTCTCTTTTGACGTGTTTGACAGATAGACTACGTATCTAACTGCTCAACTTATGAAGTGGTCCTATAAACATGGTATACACTGCTCATAATTTGAAGTGGAATTAATTATAAAGTTTTAATACATATTTTTTCTGTTTTGTTTTATCCTTATTTCTAAATTAGAATGTATAAAATATCTTACAGCTAATAAATGATTAAAAAAACGATTCGTTGCCTGAGGTATACTTGAAATAAAGTATATAGAGATATTTGATAAATGGCAACAGTGGCAACTTCGCTTCTTCATATAACAGATAACCTACTTATTTCGCGCAGCCACAAAGAAAATTGAAAACGGGACTGTCGCTACTCGGCGGTTTACCTACTCTGTTTATACACATAACATACGGCCCTATTCATTGGCGTGCCGCTAGCAGCCGGGAAATTTTTTTTGGAAATGTTGCTTTTTTTTCAACTTTTTTTAGGGTATCTACCAAACTCTTCAATTCTAAGTAACCATTTATGCACCATCGGATAGATGACTGATGGCACCCTCCCATGGACTATTTTTCGTTTCAGATTTTCATAAGGACTCGTAGAAAACTATTTAAAGTTGAAATTTTGCCAAAATCAAGAAACGCAAATATCTCGGAAATGGCAAGTAGCTAAACGACCAGTGACGTCTACCGATAGTAGATCCCTATAATCGCCCCATTTAAACTGTGTTTCAAAAATTTCCAAAAATTTTCCCGGCCAAAATCGAGCCTTTCTCAGTTACTCCGATTTGAAAGATTTTTTGGGCGTAGATCGATGCAGATTGATTAGTTAATTTTTTTTATCTATGTCAGTGAGTTAAGAAGCTCTTAACTCACGCATTTTCATTACTGCACTTCTGTTTAGATGACTACCAAAGAGAAAAAAATATTTTGTAAAACATTTATTTTGCAGTAAATTGAAAAAATATGTTATGAGTACCTTTTCATTTCCATAGTTGATGTACTTTTTTTCGGTGCACCATTTTTCATATTTATGTACTGTATGTATATTCATACTTCTGTTTCGATCTTGCTGGCAGCAATCTAGAAATGGCTCTGAATGCCTCTTCTTCAATGTCAGAGGGAATACTTTCCGAATCGCTCATTTTTTAAACTAGTGACATCAATATTATTTACTGTCATACTGTCATATTGACATTGCCATGTATGGTGTTATTTGAACAAAAGTATTAAGTTAATTGATTTTTAGGATAGGTATATAATTAAGTACAATAATTTTTAAAATTCATTGTGTGTTTTTGTAGTTAGTCGTAGATAAAATATTGTACAATACAGGCGAGTTAAGTCCATTAAGATACTTGTGTGGTTACACAACTTGTGCTACGCACTCGTTTTGCAACTTTCAAACGCGTATCTTAATGATGTTGTTAAGTCACTTGTATCGTAAACATCTATAGTATACACAGTTTGTCAAAAAAGTACATACAGGATGAGAACACAAATAAAAACCAACATAAAATACAACATAGCCTAATAAAGGGGCCAAATGCCAAATTGCATTTAGAACTCTTACATTAATGTCTTCTAACCGTACCGGGTGAGAAAAAATTAATAAAAAAAAATTCGATTTTTTTAAAGGGGATATCCAGAAAATCGACAATCCAAATCTTTTAAATTAAATATCTCGGAAACTATGCATTTTCGAAACACATTTTAAACGAGGCGAATATATGTAAAGCTCCACTAGCTCTCTCCGTAGAGGCTTCACTGGTCGTTTAGCTATTTACCGTTTTCCAGAGGAAACATCTCATTTTTATTTACACCTTTATTTATTTCCGCTGGAATAATTTAATGTAGCGACCAAATGCCAAAATTTTCGAAGTGACTTCCCACGCTTAATTTTAACGTTAACACCTTAAAAATTATTTAGAATCACAAAAAAGGCACCCTTCTAAGAACACACGGATTTTGATAGCTGGACCGGACTAGAATGTGTGTATTATATTAAAAGGCTGATTTATTTATAATATTTATTTATAGATAATTTATACGAATCAAAACTTTGTGTATTCTAGATTTAATATTTTTGGGTCTTTAGGACCAGATTTTTCTGGCGAATATTTATAACCTCATTTCAGGATGAATTAAGCTTAACATAAAGGGAATGCAGGAACCTGGCGTGTCACAATATAATTTTTGTTGGTCATCGCTAAGTGAATAGGAAAAAAGGACAGCGTGATTTATTTTTTTATCTTATGTCCGCACGACCTACTTCCTGCAGGACAGGCTTTGTGCCATTTTATTATTCTATTAACATTTAAATATTCTATACAGGGTGGCGCCTCTCATACGACGCGGAGGCTTCAAGGAGAACGACAATTTGTAATGAAATGAAATTTTGTGAGCATATGTAGGTTAATTTAGAACATTTTTTAAAAATATAGAGATAAAAATATAATAAAATGTAAGGTTTTTGACATTTTCTAAAAATAAAGAACAAATTTTAAATTTCATAAAAGCTACTTAAATTCGAATTTACTCGGTATAGCCCAATATATAGTTAAAATAACGATTGTATATTAAATCAAATTAAAACTTGGCCGAAAAAAAGTGATACAGGGTGAAACAAAATTTAGTGCACAATAAGTTTTATAAAATACAAAGTTTCATTAAAGAAACTTAAGAAGTATAGGCATATGGTTCTTTAATGAAACTCTTTAACCTCTTCTTCTTGAACCTTAATTTTTTTACTAGGATCCGAAAATCAATTAATATATAGGGTGTTCCATTACCAAAAACCCAACTTTTATGAGAAACTTTTTTTTGGGGACACCCTGTAGAACTCTGAACTGGAAATATATTTTTATAAAATGCTTTCAATTAACCTAGTAATATGCTCCCAAAATCTCATTTCGATATAACTCCCGTTCTCCTGGGAGCCTCCGCGTCGTATGAGAGGCGCCACCCTGTATACAGGGTTATTCACCACATTCGACACAGACTATTGTAGCCACATGATTAGATTTTTAGAAATTATGAGTGACGGGATCATTAGATGACTACTAAAGCTACAATTGAAAATTATTTCCAAAAGATACAGAATGTCCCAAATAAATAAAAAATACGTTATGTATAATGTATATTTTTAAATGTAATACCCTGTATATATTATTACATTTTTAGTTTCTACGATTATAATAAAGGTAAATTTGGTTAAAGTTTGCCTCACTTTAATCTTACCGTTTTTTCAATATTTACGATTTTGTGAAAATGCAGTAACAGTTTTATTGCTTCATTTCTCTAGGCGTATATAAGTTTTTAAAACCAAATATTTTACTGAAGTTTTTCTATTTACTAAAGTTTGTATTGCAATAATAAATATTATACCACCATATAGAGAGTGCCTAAAAAATTATTTTAAATAATGAATAGCTTTTTGCATCAATAACTTGTTTAATTTAAATAGCCCTGTATATTTTACTAGAATCAGATATGCACAATTTAATTCATAGGCGTGACCAAGATTTTTAATAAGGGGGGGCCAAAGTTAAAGATTACGAACCAAAAAAAACAAAGGGGAAAAAAAGAAAGGAAAACTTTTTTTATACGAGCGTGCGCAAAGTAACGTTTTCCTTATTATTCTATTAAAGCTTTTCCAATGGTTTTTTTGTGGGTTTTCGTTTGATGTCTTTTTTTATTTGTTATTTAGGCTGATTAGGGGGGCCATTGCCTCCCTAATCAGCATAACGCCCCCCCCCCCCCTGGGCATACCTATGATTTAATTGTCTCTCAAATTGTATTTTACCATA